CGAAATCTCTGAAGCTTTTCTCCTAAGAGTAAAGGAAGATCCACGTATAAATAAGGATAGGTAAAGTGTGTCAGAGACAAAAAAAAAAAAAAAAGAAAAGAAAAGCCATCTGCAGTGCTGCATACATGCATACATATATAGATATGTGTGTATATGTCCAGCTCCACAACCATGAGGTAAATCTCTTTTAAAAGGTTTAAATAGGTCATTATGTCATTTTGGCTATGCTTGAAGGTGAATATGTGGAAGACAACAAGAAAGAGATGTCTGCCTTAGCCTTTCTTTTATTTCTTTAATCTCTCAGTGCTCCCGCCAGCGCGGTTCTAGGTAGAAATGCCGTAAGTTAGCACAGGACATTAAGCATTCCAGGTGATAACTGCAGTTAACTGACTCAGTGTGGCAAATTGTCTTACTATTTTGTGCTCTGTTGTCACCGTTTGTAGGATGGAATTATATGATTCTACCTCTCAGAAGTGCAGTGAGACTTACCATATAGTTTTGAGTTCCTTCAAAAAAAGAGAAATTACCTAGAGGTGCTAAGTGTTATGTCAGTGCTGCTGTTAAATTAGTTGTAGGAGTGTATTTTGTCTTTGGCCTCCGATTCCTGATGTTAATTGGAGGGACATCTGCATTCGTCACTCTCTTGCTGAAGAGTCATTTCATATTTTTAGTTTCTGCTGTGAGAAAACTTTATTCACAACTCTCGTTTTCCGTTAAGCTTCCTTTTAAAAATTTTTTTTACACGTCCTGTCTGCTGGTTGGTGGTTCTTATCTACGTTTTTCAAGTTCTCTCTCCAAACTACTCGGATTCCTCTTAAACTGTCCTTACACTTCAGGAAACATTTTGTGTTTAAGGCTATTTGGCTTCTCTCCATCTCCCTGTGACCCTCCGACAACACTGCGGCAGGCTTACCTCCGGCTGTTTTCCTCAGGTCCCGACGTGTCTTATTCCGCGCAGATGGGGAGTGCATGCTGAGGAATGGGCAGCGTTGTGCAATATGCCAGTTACAGTTTGAAAATACCTGAGGTAGATAACGTTTGTGCTTAGGCGCTGTGAAAACGCACACAGTTCAACTGCGGTAAGTCTCAGTGTTACTTGTCCTCTGCGGCAAATGGTGCAGTATTTGCGTATTAGCCAGGCTGCAGAAATAGGGACAACTCCCTCCGGGTTCTTCGTTACACTTCTGATGTTGCCTCCAAGATCTACCTTGTCTCTTTAGTGCTTTTACACTTAACGAATGTAACAGGAAGAAATATATTGCAAAGAGATAAGCCTGCAGTGTCTACACTTCACTATAATGCATTTGGCATATCTGTTTCCACCACTTAGAAGATGGTTGGCGAGCCGTACATTTCACAGAACATACCACAGGGTGCTTGCCGTGAAATATTGTCATTAAGGCATTAAGCAACCATTGTGGAAATAAATGAGTAGCAGCAGTGTATAGCGTCTCAGCCTTAATTTTTTTCTTTTATTCACTCAACTGACAGTTCGTAAAAGGCTATGTAGTTACAAGTATACAATTCCCCTACTCTAGTGGAATTAAGCTTCTTCAGAAAATATAAATCAACAATTTGCTGGCGTTACTATGGTGTGTAACCGGGCTGTTCCCACGGTCATGATCGAAGTTCTGAAATCATAATGAAACTCTACCAAAACACCAAAGGTGGTGAGAGATACAGTATTTTGGTTTCCGCTCAGTGTTCTGTGTCCGAGTTTAGCAGGTCTTACTGAAGGGGGAAAAGGACAAGAAGACCTTTGATTCTCTAGCTCTGCAAAATCCTTACTCAGGTAGATGATGCTCGTCCTTACGATCCGCCGGGTGACCAGGAAAAGTGACCTGCGACAGGGTTTTCAAGATCCTATTCCAGTGCTGATGTGAGAGGCACCGGAGCTCTTCTAAATTCCCTTTTATTCATCGGTCACAGAGAGGGTTCCCACCTTTAAGCATCTAACTTTATGTGCCCAAGTTAGGACCCTAATTGTCCTTAAATACGTACCTCATTTAGGAAAGAGAAAAGATCAAGGCCCTGCGACTCAGATCTGTGCTGCGCTGAAGAGCCCTTTGGTGCTGACTGGCCCTCTGCAGGCACATTACAGGCAGCCTGGAGTGACTTCGGACCGTGGCTTTGGTGTCTCTGGCAGGTGCTTGAAGCTGGGTTACAGGAATTACCACTTTGTGTCTGGTCCTGCCTTCCCTGAAAGCATTAGGAATCCTTTTGCTCGTATCAACAGCAGTAGAAACGGCTTTAGCTCTCTCCCTTGTATCCAGCCCATAAGCAGATTTTAAGATATACCTTGAATTTCTTGACCTATTTTTTTCTGAAATTCAGATTAGCCTTTTTTAAACCTCACAACTTTCAGATATTGCTACAGAAATTACAGTGTTTCCTTTTTTTGAAAACTCGTTAGTAGCATTCTGAAACACTCTGTTTATGAAAGCTTTCCTCTTATCCATTAAAACAAATGAGTGACTTATCAGATTTCAGAATACTTGTAAGGTGAGCTTTACAGTTCCCGTTGAAAGTTTAGACCTGTTTGCAAGAACTGCGCACCTGTCCTCCAGCGTTCAGCTCGCAGTATACCTTCTCCAGATTTTCAGATTTGTGAGATCCACCAACAAAATATAGAGAAAGAATTATCCTAATTTGAGATGGGTCAGTCTAAAGGTGAAATCCTAAGATTGATTATTTTAACTCTCCAGCGCTCCCAACAAAGTTCAGGAAGGTTGAGAATATAATACAGGAAAAAATGGACTGAAGTACAGAAAAGATTAAGTGAGCGAACCGTGCAATCATGACCCCTGTATATAATAAAAGCATTTTCTGGGCAAAATTAAGAGTGCTGTTGGATGTGCATGTACAGATTGACTGCAGATATATACAGCAGTGTAATTTTTGTCCACTCTGACTTTCTACCGCTTGATTAAAAGACTAGACATTTCCCCTTGAGATTCACTCCTCTGCCTAATGTGCTGTAATTGCAACAGAGTGCTTGGTACAGCAGCAACGAGCACTATTCTGTAATAAATTTAGGTCACTGCAGAGTTCATCATGTAGTCCATGGCAACAGAAGATAAAGCACTGGTTAGTTCATCTCTAGCTTTTAGCTGCAGTGTCACTGATTCTCCTGTCTAATGATATTAATAGAGCTAAATGTAGGCAAATTGTCTAAGTCCCAAGGTCTCTTCCTTCCTACTGTGTATGTAATATTTCAGCTAAGGAAAACATAATGTAGCAGCATTATAACAGAAATGTGAACCAGAAGAGTTCTTAGCCAAACAATCATGTTTTACGTTGGCTTTACGTTCCTTTCCTATTACCATATAGTCCCTCAGATCAATATTTTTGAAACCCTTTTGTTTTTACAAACCTTATTTCTTTACAAACCACTTATTTCTTATTTCTCTAGTGAAAACCAAACAGCAATGGTGTAGGGCTTTCAGAAGTACTGATTGCAATTGCTAAATATTTGGAATGAGTTTGGGGAGCACTTTGCTGCAAGAGATTTTTCTGTCTGTTTATTGGCTTGACCTTGTGCTTGAGAAGATTTTATTCGTTGAGTTTATTTGCAAAGTGGGCATTCAGATTAAATCCTGGCTGCTGACTGTTCCTTTTTTTCTTTTTAAACTTCGAGGTTTTTTTTAAGTTTTATTGCTTTACCATCTGATAAACTCAAAGGGCACTAAAAGCCTCTTTCTGCTCTCATGCATCCGTAGGGCTAAAATGCAGTATCCTGGATTGCATAGAACTGTACACAACTGACTATTTCTTCATTTAGTTATGTATTTTACCCTTTTATTGTTGCTGCTGATGGTGCTTGTTGACTACAATATCTCTTGTGAAAGGGTTGACAGTGAAGTTTAAAGCACTGAAGCATAAATATAAAGCAGTGGGATTAAAAAAAAAAAGCGGGGCTATGGTTTGATTTTAACACTAGCATATTTATACTTAGAACTGTGAAAGACAAGCTGTGATGGACTGCAGAATTTGGATACTTTTTTTAGCTTTGATGACAGCCTTAAATATCTCAAATATTTTTGAAAACAATTTAATGTAGTGCAATTGTGACAACGTAGTACCGTTGTGATTTCTCTGTTGTAGATGTGAATATCAAGAACAGCCACAAAAAGTAGAATATGGAGAGCAAAAGATACGAGTAAACTCGTACCTGTGTCTACAGAAATAATGGCATCAGGTTGCATGAATCTTAGTTCTTTGATTTCTGGTAAAACCAAAGTACTGAGTCTGCATGATTAAGAAGAATGTTTTGAAGGGAATTTAGGGAGGCCGTAAGCTTCTCACCTGTAATCTGTACGTTCACAAGCATTCAAGAGACCACCTGGAATTTCTTTGTAAAACTTTTCCCACGTATGCTCCTAAAACTGAGCTTTTCTGAATCCGTAAGTTGATTTTATTTGAGTGCCTAACTTGATACGTCAAAGAGGAAATGCAAACTATTATGTATGTGATGTTGTATGACCAATGGCACAGTTGACTGATTTTCTCTGCAAGCTTCTCTAATTCTTCTTGAGGCTTCAGATTTTTTTTATGGTAGAACACTTCTTAAACACATGAACCTTAGCGTTCTTCATCAGGTATAAATTATCTTCATTCTAGTGAAGTCAATGGAGCTACAAGAATTTATATCCACAGATGATCTGGTCCATATTTTTTTACATATTTTTTTACATATTTTTTACATTTTTTTTACATATTTTTTTACATTTTTTTACGTATTTTTATTTTTCTCACTATTGAAAAAGGTTAAGAATTTTGAAACATTAGAAAAGCCCATTGGATAGTCAATAAAGTGACTTTTGCTGAAAAATACAGATTTGAAAGAGAAATAATCAAAGAAATTGCAGTTCTGCTTATGTATTAGTGAAATGATTTATACAATGCAGAAGTGAGAGACAAAAGGGAATTTCAAAGACCTTTCAAGCCTCTACATTTTCAGACCCTTTCACTGAATCCGCAGCCATATGCTACAAGTAACTCCTCTTTAAACCAATACTGAACTGATTATGGCTTCTGAGTTTGATTCCAGTTCTACGGTGTGCCAATAACTTGGAGGAAAGTTGGTGAGTGGCACTAAGATGTGGCTGAGATAGAATCAGATCATAGGTTTTCCATATTATGTCACTTTTGTTTTCCCCTTTTAAGAGTTCAGAGTAATTGTTTTAATATAGCTTTTCCATCTCTACCTTATTTGCTTCCCTTATCTTTCTGCAACGTTTATGATAAGATCTTTCTTCAGGACTGATTTATCTTGTACTCCTGCTGCACTTACAGTTTTTTCTTGAGATTCCCTTTCTCCAGATATCTCCGCTGTCAATTTACTCCTGTTTTCACTCACTTAGTCTTTTCCCCAAGTAAGGATATTGTTACAGACCTCAAGATTTGTCTCCAGATAATCCTGTCCCCAGCAGTCATGACCATTTAATTCTAGTTTCTATTGCGAGATTTAAAAACAAAACATAACAGTCTTGTTTCAGCTTTAGTTTTTATTATTAAATGTCTGTGGTTTTCGTGAGTGCTTTCAATCTCACACCAGGCCAGCAGCTCTGATATCAGACTATGAGGCCCTGCTGATCATCTGCAGGTTTCTAGCCTCATGTCACTGTGAATTTTTAGATACTTGCAAGACAATCCTGTATAGAGTCCCTATTTCAAGATCTTAAGCTAGACAGATTCAGGATAGACATTCAGTATGGTTCTTCAGTGAAAATTTTCCTTTATGATGCAAGGCAGTTGGTAGTTGGTAAGCTGGAGAGAGACTCCAGCAATGGAGTTGTCGTAAGGTACCACTATTAGAATACAGAACGTTAATGGTAAACTTTGGAATTTAATATCCCAGTGCCTTATCCCTTATCATGATAGGAATGAGAACAGATTATCCCCTGACAAACAATACTGAATGAAGAGAAAGTTTGTGAAGTTATGCTAACGGGAAAAAAACAATTGATTTTTGATAGACACTGTATTGCCAATGGAATTTAAGACGTTTTATGCACTAAGGGAAGGGAAGCTTCACTCAGGACAGGGTGCCTTGCAGAAAATCGTCTGGGGATTTGATTTGGCATTTTAGATGTTTTACATAGTTAAACCTGTTTTGCTGGTTTAAATTTAAATGGGATTCAAACCTTGCAGAACAGTGGACAAAAGCTAAACAACAAATTCTTCTGTGTTGCAACAGAAGGCTTCTGGAGTCTTTTGGTTTTACATATCTTAGATATTTTTGGAAGCCTGAGAGGAAATTACTACCTGGAGACAGCCTGTTGTTTTTTCTGTTTAGAAACCTTGGAGATGGCCAGAATCCAGATCTCCAAACTAGCTGTCTAGAGGATGACAAGGTTACACAAAGATTCTTACCGAACTGGTGGAAATGAGCAGAAAAATTAAACACCTAATGATCAAGTGCTGCTTCTGAACTTGCAGAGATTTCAAGAGTTTGATACATGCTGGGATTAGCTGAAATAACTGCGTTGAAGGGTAATAGAGTTCTATTAAACCTGTCGTTTTTTTCTTTATCCCAATATAGTATAACTACTCTTAAAGTAAAAAAAGTCATCAAAAATAGCCAAACAGTAGTGTTTGAGTGTCAAGTGTTTCTATATTTACAGTAAAATGAACTCTGATTTTCAGATAATACTGAATGCTAATGGATAGTAAATGTTATTGATATACTGTCCTATAACTTTGTTATTTTTGAACATAAATTATATAAATAATGGAAACAGAAAAGAAACTCTGCATTCTCTTAGGGTGTTCTGACCTATATACTGAATTCTCTCACTTTTGCATTTCACACCCTAAAAAATAAGTACTCTGCTGTATGTAGCACTGCCATGCTGTAGCAAATGGCTGGATCATCTGATTGCTGGCAACTGGCAGAAAGTTCATGGCTTAACGTGTTCTCAGAGTAACGCTGAACTTCGGAAATAGTTGTGCCCATAGGTTGGCAAGAATGTCTGTTTACTCCAGTGCTTCTCACGGTTTTGTTGCAACATATGCTTTTGTTTCTCTCAGTATTTCAGTACGGCTTTCTCTTTTGTCCAGGCTTGCTCACCTTAGCAACCAAAATATACTTAGGATTAAAAGCTGAGACTTTAGTACCAAATTTAGAAGAAAGAGAGCAAGTGGATCTGGCGTTCATAATACCTGCTAAACAAAAGATGCAGGTATCATTAGCAGCAGCAGTGGATGTCTGTCTCTGACCCCTGAGCAAAGGGACAAGCAAGTGGTTTATTTGTTGGCTATGCTCTTTAAACTTGTAGCCCTGATCTGCTAGATGAGCTCCTACTGACCTATGACTCCTGAGTCCAAACTCCATTGCCAAATAGCTGTCCATAGGCTTCATATTAGATGAAGACAGGTCAGGATTGATGCATTTCTGTATACGTCTTTCCCTCCTTTCCGGCATGATTACTAGCCGTGCTAAACACACCCTGTAGATAGAGAAGAGAATCTACTCTCAATATTTTGATGATCCATTAATGCAGGTCCTATCTGATTAAGTTCTCTGCTTGTTCACTTAGACTGTAACACTTGGTGACCTTGAAATATGAGTGTTAAAGACAGGATACCTTATCTTGCTGCGTGTCACTGTCACCGAATAAAGCTTCTATTACGGGTGCTTTGAAATGAGCTGGTGCTGAAAAGAGAACCTCCACTGTTAAACCTACCTTAACACAAAGTCTATGTTATTTATTTATGATGTTACATGAATCATCTGCACTTTCTCTGATAAGCCCAGGGCTGTGTGTCTTTCATTTCAGCTGACATTTTGCTGCCATTTGCCAGGCTAAGTAACTACTGTGCAATCACTCCAAGCTGATGCATGGTCATTGTTTGGCACAAAAAGGATATTTAAGTCAGCTGAAAGACTTTTTTAAAGAGTATAATTTGACAAACTAAATTTTTGCTCATATAAGGGAAATCAAGTAGCTCTGTACCAAATATATTTTTTAAGATAGCTATAAGGATTTCTGCAGAGAATCTGACAAAGTATTTTACTTTTGAGCATGAAGCAAAAATTGATTAGTTTTGAACAAAAAGGATTTCTCAGGGCATGGAAAGGCTTTTATTTGGAATTAAATATATTCTTAGCTTTGCCTGATAAGATATTTGAAAGCTGTGTCTTTGTAAAGGCAAATGGCTGCCAGTTATATATTTTTTGAATGTGTTAAAAAGGATCTCACAACATGACATTTTTCTCCACCTTATATTTAGTTTTACTCCAGAAGTCTGACTCTGAATCCCAATCCCAGTCCTTGGTATGTCTACTATATTGCACGATTCTTTAGCTCGCTTGATCATGCCCTAAAAATGATAGAATCGCTGAGTGTGCTGTGCATAGAGTAACGGAGCATTTTTTGCCCTGCAACTGTAAAAGGCAGAAAACCAAGAACAATTCAAGGATAAGAAGTTCTGCCTGAATGTGTTTTGCTGCTGGGAAAATTTGCTGACAGGTTCGCTTGGATGCATGCTCTCCTCTTTGAGCCAAAAAAAAAAAAAAAAGAGAGAGAGAGAGAGAGAGAGAAATATGCAAGCCATACAAAAATGGACAAGAATTGTCCATAACTGACAAGCTACTGCCAGTTAGAGATTTAGAGACTGGTGGTTAATAATTTATGAGCTTCTTCTGCAGTACACTATGCGACTTTCATTTTCTTGTTCATGGAGCGTATCAAATGCAAAGTGTTACTTGTAGGTCCAAACAGATCTTGCCATTTTTTTTTTTTGCCTCTTCCAATTAGTTGTTAAATACCTTGTCTGTTATGCAGAATTGAGGGGGGAAAGGCAAATAATTCTAGCCTGAGAAAATGTCATCATGGCATTCATCATAACTTTGTGACATTTGCTGTCCTTTTATTAAACTCCCTGGCATTTCATGAAACCATGCCCAGACTAATTGTACTTTCATAAACTGTTGTTTTCCACTACTATATGATTTGATAGGGTTTTCCATGCAGGAACGTCATCATGTTTAACAAATGCGAATGACTAAAGCTTTGAAACACAACATAGTCTGAGACAGTTTTCAGTGACTCATTAGTGGGCACCATATTCTATTGAATCTGATGCTGATGATATTAAAGGGAGTCAGGATCATTTCTGTAGGACGCGCTATTTTCAGTCCCTCCAAAACATATTGGCTTTGGTTAAAAGGTTTCTCCCCCTTTTCCTTCGGTGCGCAGTCTTCAGTAAATGCAAAGGGTAAATTTGCCAAGGTGGATCCAGGAGCATTTTTCTCTGTCTTCATGTTTATTTTCACATCACCACAGGATGTTTTCTACTACTGAGCTCCTGTTTTACAGTTTTTAGCTGAAGTTCATACTCTCTCGCAGAAAGTCAGCACTGCTAGACTTTTTACAAGGGCAATGTGCAAGGGAGCACTTGGGGTAAGGGAGCCCTGCAGCGAGCTTGTAAAGGTGGCTATAACTCACGGGTCATAGTCGAAGCTCAGATCTGCTGCCTCCTCCACTGCCATCTTACAGGAGATTCGATCTGGTGAATCGACCCGCTGAGTGTAACAGCCACAAGCATGCCAATCCCTAATGCTTTGCACAAGCCTAGGGCACTTGTGGATCTCAGGTCAAGGGCAGCATTGTCGAATGCCTGCTTCCTGGTACCTCCTCCTGCAGCAGTACTAACTGGTTTTATCTGGTCCTTTAGAGCTCCCTGGAAGCCTGGATTTTGCTTTTGCTTAATAAAAACACTTTCCTAGAGACATTATGTGAAAAGATGCACACTGGGCCATTTCTCTTAGGAAGAGGTTTATAGCATATTTTCTGACCTTAGAATTTAGATGAAAATCTCAAACTGTTAATTCCTTGGGAATAGACTATGGATGTAAACACCAATCTGTGGTTAAGGCAGAAATGCTAGTCATTTGTTAGTCATGTAAAAAATTAACGTGAGGCAAATAATCTTACGTGCTTACTACCTTGTCAAAAATAATTGGCTCATTAATCTTAGCTATATTAATTTAGTTGTATTACGAAGGTCAGTGCAAGAAGATCCTTTTGGGTTCTCATCATGTTAAACATAGCTCTCTGTATTTTTTGCCAGTGTTCCTTTCTCTATAAAAATAAAATTTCAGTAACACCTTGAGCAATGTAATTAGGGAAAATAATCATGGATGTACTGAGAGGCACAATGAGAAAGCAGAAAGACCGCACGGCCACAAGGTGAAATAAATACCACTAAACATGTACATGGCTCATGTACATCACTTAATATGAGAATAATGTTACCAGACCATCACACAGATACAGATCTATCTGTGATATCTGCATTCAGATAAGCTGAGGAAAGGAAATCAAGCAAAACCGCAGCTGAATTTTGGAACAAATCAAATTTTGATGGTTTATTGATATTGGGCCAGTTATCTCATATGCATACATGCACATACACACATACCCCCTTATTGGATTTGCTGGCAAGAGACAGTACATGATTTTTCCTGTATTCCTAACTCTTTTTCCACGATGTCCCAATTTGATTGCATCTTCAAGACAAAAATGTTATATGGGAATCTTTACAATGTACAAAAATATGGAGAAATTGACCTAAGCAGTCTTCATATTTGTTCTTCATTGCCTTGTACAGTGATGATCTTGGACTGCAGGTTAACCTCTGAGACAGAGTATGCTTGATGAAATGAAGATCATCAAACTATGTCTGTAAAACCACTAACTCTCTATGAAGCTTCATAGGACACGTAGACATTCTTCTGACTTCATTGGTTCATGAAATAGCAAGGTAAGAAGTTTCAACACAATAGAGGGTAACAGGTGATATAACGGCTGCTTAGAGGAAAAAGAGTTGGCAGCCAGCACTGAAGTTCATAGGTGGAATCATTTCAATTCCCATATGTAAAACTAGAATTTTAGGTAGTTGTTTACAGTTTTAGTTGCTTGCAATCAATTTTTCAGTCTGAATCCAAGAAGCAGCATTTTTGGTCATATATTTACATTTTCTCCTTGTGTTCTTTCTATCCATGTGATTTTAGGCATTCTGAGTTTTCTGGCAATGCTTTTTGCCATTCATAAGCAAGTTGTCACGTGATTCTCTAAAAAGGCATTGTCAAGGGCAGATACTTTCTTGCCTCACAAGACTTATTTAATCCAAGCCAATGTCTTATGCTCACTGCATGCCCATGCTCTTATTTCAAGACTGTTTCAACTTGCTGCCATCGAAATTTGTGATTTCACCTGCAGTTTCAGAAATCCCAGTCCATCTGGACCCTTATTCCGGCACATTTAGGTTTTAACTAATTTCTTTACCTTAGTTCTCTTTTTGCTTTCAGTAGTAATTTATACCACGTGCATACAAGTTAGAGTGAACCCTGCTATCTTCCACTCACTTTGGAAAACACAGGCCCATAGGGAAGACCGGGCACGTTGATGCAGGAAGAGAAGGAAAGGGAACATGTAGAACGACAGTTAAACTCAGGATATGAGACAATAACTGTTGAAGAGCGACCCTGCCAGCATCTGGCTGTATTGAGTTGCTCTAATGAGTAGAAAAGCAGAGGTAGCTGAGAGAATTGCCAGGATGCTTGGGAGAATGATTGCAGCGCTCTGGCAGAGCTGGGGGGTCTTGGCCAGAAGGGCACCGCCGCATGGGAGGTGCCTCTGAGCTATAAAACCTGGACTACTGTCTCCTGCCAGTACCAAAAGGCTCATTGTGAGCGTATTGGTCAAAGGTGACTGACGCTTGAAAAACATTTCTAAAGTGCCTCAAGTGGTTTTGCCAACTATACGTGGCCAACAAAGATAATATCTACACTGCACAAAGTGTAGAAATAGCTGAAAACCCCTAAAACTGGTGTCCTCTTGCAGCCAATAAATTGAAAAAAAATTGCCGCAAGTAATCTGTACATACTCTCCTCTAATACTTTTCCGAGAAGTATTTCACCTTGCCAGTTGCTAGCTTATTGCTTATTATGCAACTGAATCCTAATTATGTTTTCATTACATTTTTCTCTGACAATTTTTTTGAACTGTTACTTTATTGTTTTGTCATATTTAGTTCCCCAGATGCTGCACACTATCACCTTTGTCACTTCATATCTACTTTATATTCTTCCAGATCATGACGAACATTCAAACCCATGCAGCTAAGCGTATTATGCGTGGAGAGCACTCAAGAAGAGCCGGCTACCGTTAAAGCACAACATGACTCAAGCTCAGGGACAGGAGATGGAAGTTGCAGAGCCACATTGTCCAGGCAATCAGTGCTGTCCACTTTATATCTTCCTTCTCAGACCCAATAAATCCTTACTTATGTTTCTTCTTACGGTTCTTAGTATAAGCAGCAAATCTACAGGACCTAACTAATGTAAGGGATCTTTCCAGCATCCATGTTGGTAGAGGCCTGGGAGAGTTCAAAGGTGGCTTTAAAGCTATGTTTACTTTCTTTTAAGAGACAAGAATAAGGAACGTTGCTGTCTGTTTCCTACACTTAATTATTGGTATGATCTTTCTTCTCAAATATAAGACATATAAGGTTTAGTCTTGTATATAATTTCATTTTGTATGTATATAGGGTAAGATGCAGGGTTATGCTTGTGTCCAATTACTTTCAAATTAAGTAGATGCCACGTCTCAATATTTCTGTGCATTGCTGTGAATTTTTTAAAACAGAATACTACTGCCAAAAAGTAGGCTGAGCCTTTCTCACAGATGTATCTTGGAAGTCCAAGAAATCCGAAGGACAGCTGCTCCCTCACCACAGCCTGTGGGTCTATAGCAGGACAAAAGAGAAAAGAGACTTCTCCACTTCTTCCCATTGCCACTCTATGGATTTCTTACCTTCAAATAAGACATTGTTGCCTCACCTAGTAATTTTCTGGAAGTAAGTCTCAAATGCAATTTGGGAAGTGAGTTCACAACAGTGCTGTGTCTGCCTTGTTGCGCTCCAGATTAACTCTTAATTCTATTCCTGAGGGTGCCGGTGGAGCGTGTGTTCTGAATAAACATGACAACGCAAAATTAATCCCATTTCTATGGCCTTATTCAGTTTTTACAATTTAATATTCTGCAATGACAGATGTACTGTCACCTGGAGTATGTGCTCTATTTGAAAAAATGCTGGTGCAAAGTGTCCTGTGGGGAGTGATAATAAGACTTGTAGCCTTTACGTCATCTATTTCTTAACTCAGAGTTGTGGTTTTGCTGTGCAGTCGGTATAATTCTTTTTTATGTGGAAATTAGAGGGGGCTGTGTGAATGTTGTAGTCAATGATCCTTATTAAGCTAGTAGATTAACCTGGAAGTGAATAAGAGTATAAAATAATTGCAGAAGTAAAAATTTACAGAAAGGAACATTTGATGTTGCGTTCAGTCACTTTTTCCAGACCTAGCAAACTATTTTCGTTTCAAACGTTCAGACATACCTTTCAAGTAGGTGCTATAATTTAGGATTCTTTCGGCAGGTTTTGCCATTCTAGTTAGGCAGTTTCTCCTAAGTGCTAACCTTGTGGCAGTTTCCAATACGTCAGAGATTACTGAAAAACAGACGTTTTGAAAATTATGTCTGTTATATAGGTAACTATATAGATGTGGCTATATAGATAACTCATATAGATATAGAGTCTTAAAATAGCTACATTTACGAATTTCTAACTTAATGGCTCTTTGAGGTTTTAATTCTCTTATGCTGCTTCATAGGCAGGTACAGCTTGCCCAGCCTTCCATTGAGTGTGCACAGGCTGAGATCTGTGTAAAATCAAGCTGGAAAAAAAAATGTAATTTATTACAAGTAGGCTTTATTCCCTAGAACATTTACGGCAAAAGTTTAGCATGTTAAGGAAAATTAGCATAATGTCTTTCTGCTAGATCTGTTAAAGGATGGTAGTAAAATGTCTTCCTGCCAGTGTCATTTCACAGCTTGCATTTGCTAGAAAATACTGTTTTATTAGCACATGTTGCCTCAGTCTGAGAGACTGTCACAATGTTAAGCACCTGTCCACTGCCAGTTTGACTTAAATTACTTTGTTGTGATTCATTCGAATGTGAGAGCTACTTGCCTTGCTCTTTTTGTGTGGAGAAGTGAACAAATATATGTTTTCTTCTTTCCTCATAAGTAGCTCCCAATGCCATGCACAGTTTACTAGCTTGTGTTATGGTTGCTCATCTGTTGCTATTTAGCAATCCAGGGGACAGGGCACTACAAGAGCAACCAAGTGACTTGGTTTCTGTTCCTATTAGCCACCACGGGACAGAAATAACAGCTGGCAGCATTTCTTACAATTTTGTTTAACCGCTCTCGTTCGGCTAGCTTTTGAAACTTTTCTCAAAAGCAATGACGGCATCAGCGTCCTCAGCATATTCTGCCTACTCTAAGTCTTGTTGCTGCTTCCAATAGAGATGATAATTCTTCTTTGCCATCATCACACAGGGGTGTGCTTTTGCAGGGTGAAGTGGCTGCAATAATACCTCTATTCATTGTTGCGAATAGCAAAACCTTTATGTAGGTTCTGAGGCATGGCTGGAAATGTGAGCAAGAGGCATCTTGTTTTATTTACAGCGACGTGCAGACAGCAGGCAGGCAGCCAACACGTTTATTTCTGTTCATATTTATTACTGCCCGCTATAGCGCTGCCGCTGCTTGGCATTTTGTACAGCGCAGGTTCTGGGTACAGCGAGCGAAGTCATTAATATTACGGGAGGACATTTCGTTGATGACTTTTATTATTTAAAGGCTCTGTGGGAAGCACTAAAGGTTAAGATGATCAAATTCGCTCTCTTCTGCCCTTACATCTTCCCCGTACCCAAGTCTCCTTCAGCAAGACTGTGTCAGTAAGTTGCTAAAGGCGCTACCTTGTCTTTGCTGTCTTCTGAACTCTTTCTCTTTCCCACTGCAAGTAGCAAGTTACAGCCCCCCACCCCTGCATTGATCTGTCTTTTGTTTAAAGAGCTTTTGTCCGCATCTTGTGATGATGCTAAAACAAATAGAAAGGAGACTTGCCTAATAACATATGGCCCCTGGTGCCAAGGCACGTTGTCCTAGGTGGTTGATGGTACAACCGCTGCCCTTTCCCCTGCTGCTCTGAGTGCTGTTAAGCTGCCAGCCGACAGAATTAATAATGTCCTCTGCTCTCCATGCTCTCTGCTTCCACTGGTTAAATGCTGTCTCCTCAGGAATCGAGAAGGAGAAGAAGAAGAAGAAAAAAAAGAGTTTAATTAATTTTTAAGTGAATTTCTCTTCACATTGTTAGATGACTCACATCGATGCTGATGGTTATTTTTAAATGCTGTGTTCTTGCGCTTCGCTTAGTAACTGCAGAGCAGTCCATCTGATCCCTTTAAGTGTGACTTTTCCACTAAGAGCATTTCCCACAGCCTAAAAATGTCTGTCGTTCAGCTATTTCCACGTATTATTTGTGCTGTTCTGCTTTTCTCATGGCTTTTAATCAACGTGTCCTTAAGTAAAGGACAGTATTTACATCCTGCATGGTAATTGAAACGTAGACTTTAAAAGCTGAAATAGATATTCTGTTAGGGTACACGCAGGAGCAGGTGCACCCTCAGTGAGGACAGGGTGGGTTGAGCCCACCTTCTCGGTATGGGACGCGTGGCGGGAGGGAGACGTGCTCTGCGGAGCTCAGCTTGGCAGCAAGGGAGCTCAAATCTGGAGCTCATCAGCACCAGACCTCCCCTCGAACATCTCCGAGGGGACAGCAGGACTGACTTCGTAGCCCCCAAACCATCCACGGTCGTGAAGAAAGGTGCCAGCCTTTGTCCGCTGCGCTCCTGCCGTGGTACTGGCGCCAACAGGGTCCCAGGGAAACGTAAATGATACCAGGGCCTTTGTAGGGCTGAAAGAGTTAAGAACTAATGGAGGAGCTAAAGTGTTTTTAGCTCCCTGCTTTCCTGTAAATCTATGCCAGGCTGCACATACAAGACTGAAAGGGCTGTAGCTTCTGTTCGGGGAAAAAAATACATAACTCGTAAGATTTCCCACAAAAAGCCATGGACCTTTTCCCTCTGTTTCTTCTTGTCTCTGAACACCCTTTTTTTCCCATGAAGTGCATACAGCTGGAATGGGATTTTTCAGATGTGGTAAGAATTGTTCTAAATCTGTTCCCATCAAAGCTAGTGTAGAAAAACAACTTCTCCTGACAGTGCCAAGAATTTAGGCCAATACTGAGAATTGTGAAAGTCTTTATCTTTGGCCTAGCTTGGTGTTTGCTTTTGTTTATGTCTTAGTGGGGTATATAATAACATCTGTTTGTTGTTTTCCTACTGGAAAATAAATTCAAAGAGAAGCAATATTCTTGCCATCTTTTTTATTATTGTTTTTACCATTAAATGTTGATTTGTGCACTGTTTTGATACACCACACTTTTTTCCATTTTTGCCTCACGTCAGGTAGTTGCCTTATATAGAATACACCCTTGCCCAGTCTTCTCTCACTGTTTGTTAAAACAATATATAATACCTCTATATTGTGGATCTCTCAGGACAATGCTCACTCATTCTTCACACATTATTTTCAAAGAATTGGTTATTTACAGTGTAACCCAGGAGGGTAATGGTAATCCTGACTATTTACCATCCTGCTGTCCTAGTACCTTAATAAAGATGAGTAGTATTTAACTGCCAGGCATCAGAGATCTCTTTATTTTAATTAGCAAGGGTGCTTTTCCTATCATTTTCCTGGGAACAAAATATATCCTAGAAGATTCCTTACTCAGCTCGCCTAGCTGTTGATTTGGAGTGAATTAAAGGAAACATACTGTGAAAGGTGACTAGCTGGGGAAAAAAATAAAGTATAACATTAAACAATATAAATGTTCCAGCCTTTTGCTCCATCAAACCTTAGGGCAATGTCTTTTCAATGTCATGCTTTAGTAAAAGTCTTTTTAGCCCATGCATGTCTTTCTAAACAAGACAGACAAAAGCTTTTATTTTAAAAGCAAACAGCTAAGTGATTTGCTGTACACTTGCCATGAATAGTAACGAGTAGATTTGTGGTGTGTTCCTCTTTTTAATTAGCACATTGCTATAACCTGACTGCTGCTGTTGCTGTATGGATGAGCACTGTCTTATTACCATGTGTCTAGAGGATACCACTTGGAGCAGTTCATGAAACAAGTTAGAAAAAAAAATACCATAGAGTATTCTTGGGATTGGCTTAAAATACTTTTACATTACACTTGCTTTTTTTCTGGACAGAATTGGCTGTTTAAGCTGAAAGTAAACCCAATTGTAGGTATTGTGTTGTCTAAAAATAACCCTAAAAGAGATTTTTCATGAGCTTAGTTGGGAAAGGGTTATCTTCCAGAACTAGAATACAAGGTGTATACGTTGTTTTACAAACAAAAGCATTGCTAGGCTCAGTTCTCTTATTACAAGCCATTTCCATACACCTTACATGTAATGGCATTGTAAAGTTTCATAATTGAATAAGATGGAAAGGAGAAATTTAAAACAAATCACCTTTTTGGTAAATTTATCTGATCTACTGTTTGAAATGCTTCTCAAAATTCTCCCGGCTGTTCCAGGCAGAGCAGAATTTTAAAGTAGTAATGTTAAGGTAGAAAAATACTAGGACTGCTGTTGAATGATAGGGAGAATGGAGACTGACCAGAAACGCTGTCACAAGTTTCAGGTGATGAAAGAAGAAAAGAAAAGGGTAGGCACATAGAAACCCATAGTCCATGCTCTCAGCTGCACTTTTAATGGGGACTTGTGGCGATTCAGAAAAACGTGCTAAGATACATACCACACCAATATATACCATACCTGTTAATTAACAAATCATAAAAAGATATCAAAGAATAAAATAGCATGGCCAAATCTACTGTCAGCTTCTTCTCTTGCTGCAGCTAGCAGAGATATCCCGTTTGGAGACTTAACGCAAATTTGCATCTCATGCTGGCTTCACCGCCGGAGGATGTTCAAGGTTTTCCTATGTTAGGATTTTGCTAATTCAAAGTGTGTGGAAGTGAAAAGAATTGATACACTTCTCTGTTCTACAGAGTGTAATTGAGTATAAATATGCTATGGCTTTTTAGACTTCACATCATTTCGGAATGTGGTAAACTCCTTTGTATTTGTACAATACAGTTGTGTGTGTGTAAGACATATGGATTTCTTTTAAAGGCGACTTGTAATTCTGCCTGCTGCTTTTTGAAGGACTTGGATTTTCAGATGGTGCAATTCTGATCACTCACAGTGTGACACTCAGGTCACCAAGTCACATGCTGCTTTTGGAGATCTTGTTCAAATCTTTTGGAGATCTTGTTCAAGATCTTTTGGAGATCTTGTTCAAGTGTATGGAGAGAAATAAAGGATGTTACTGTATTAGCTAAGGTCTAATCGTTACCCATGGTTGCCCTGATTGAATTTGCAGACCGTGAGCAATGAAATGGTTCTAAATCCTTTTATATTGAAACACATTATTTATATATGGCATGTATGTTGCAAAAAATTTAACTATCTTAAGGCTTTAAAACCCTTTTTTTGTCCTATGGGATTTTGTAACCCATTGCCTGGAAAATCAAGAGTCTAAAAATGCAGGGCTGAGAACAGGAAAATTATTAAATTATATTACGAAATTAATGACCATAAAAAGGATCTCAAATGACTTAAAATCATGTATGTGGTGTTTTATACATAAGGTATATGCATATACTTATTTCTATAAAATATATAGAAAATAAATGTCATACTTATGAAGCCTGGTTTCTAGCAACTTTCTAAGAATACCAGATGTGAATCTGAATAGTGTCTCTAATCAGGTAAGATGCGTGTTTCTAATCCTGTAGGAGCGAGAAGTGGTGCTATTTAAACTGCCATCACATCAAACTGTCTTTGGCCTAGGACTAATATTATCCCAAGGTGCTCTTGGAGGTGGAGAAGAAGGTATAAAAAGTTCCACATTTGGGAAATGAGAGAGAAAAAAGTGGCTTTGTTTGCTGATTTTCAAGAATGGAGACTTTCTGAAGCTTCCTGGAGGTTTCAGATAAACGCCAGAGAAGGATAATGAGCAGAGGGTGGACTCTGCAGTCAAGCTGAGTGCTAAATAAATATTTCATACAGATTGTGCCTTGCCCTATACCATGTATCCATAAAATTTGTCTGTGTAATTAAAATACACAGAGCCCATAGTGAAGTTTTAGTTTGATTTCTCCACCACCAAGTATATCTGCGTGTGTAGGCACAGATAACATGATGTGTCTGAAATTCTTCCAGAGCTTGATTTTCCTAGCACTTCGCCTACAGCTGTAATTGATAGCGCACTGCAGAGATGTGACACCTTTCCTGCAAGGTCTTTTGTGGAATACATCTGCTGTACGGTGAGGAAACAAAATATGAGTCTTGCCTGAATCTTGTGGTAGAAAGGATTCAAACTGGGAAACGGTTCAACACAATTTGCATATTATGCAGATGAGAACCTAATGACAAAAGAGTATATTGGCACGCTCTGCCTTGTTATCTGGCAATGATGTGCGTAGCAGCATGGGGTACCTCGACATAATCTCTTCTAATGTGATTTTGCAATTAAAAACAAAAAAAAGAAAAAACTAAAGTCAGAGAAAAGCAGAGAGAGAGAGACGCGTACGTAAATAAGATGCGCTTGTGACGAGTCACGTAATCCCGCGCAATCCAAGTAATCCAGTTCATTTTGGGACACAGGCATCAGGACTGTACGTTATTAATTCTGAATGGGGGAAGAGGGAAAGTAGCCAAGTGCTGCTCACTGAATCCTCATTCCTAGTTTGAGCGGCTGCTTCTTCAGCCTTGCTTGCCAGTTCTGAGTGTATTTCAAGGAACATTACTGAGAACAAAATCGAACACCATCAATATTAATGATCTGAACGAGGAAGATAGCTTTTACTGTGCAAATTAATTACCCTAATCACAGGGTTTTTTGTATCCATTTTAATGAAATAACTATTTATTTCACTGAGTCCTGAGCTTTTCTTTTGCAAATAAGGCGCATTTACATGATAAATACATGAAATTTAAATGGATGACTAAATTAAATTGAGGGGAAAAAAAGACCTTTTTAAATACAATTTTCATAGGAAAAACAGCTAGATTAATGGGTTGGTTAGCTGACTGGCATCTGTGATTAAATCTTTTTAATGTATGTCAAATAGAATTTAATGGACCTCAAGAAATGTCTACATAGTCAGTAATATTCAGGGTTTAGTGAAGATGCATTTTATCTCCTGTTATTTGAAGTGTAGACAGCTGAAGGCATATTGCTTGTAGTTGCCCAGTACAGTACAGAGACATTACAGTGTGGAAATCATAGTAATACAAGTTCATATTTCTCCTTTCCTGTGCTCTCTGCTTCCTGCTCTGAAAGTAATTTAAGATTTCTACCTGCAGGAATCTAAAGCAAGGAGCTCCACTCTAAAATGGTGATTTCAGATTGTTTGCATAGTCTTCTGATTTAATCACCGCACGCCCGTTACTTTCATACTGCTGTTTTCCGATGCCAAGAAAGGAGAAAACGCTGAGTTCAGAGGAATTTCCAACATATCTTTTAGATGCTATGTGTTTTGAAAACTTTATTTATTGTGGCGCAGCTTTGGAAGGCTCCAAGCTCAACAGAGGCAAGATTTGAAACACATTCCGGCTCATTTTTTTGATAAGAGTCCTGCAAGAACAGAGCATCTTTCTCTGCTCTGCGTTTTTTTTTTTTCCCAGCCGAGCCACCAGAGACATCTCCAGCTCCCTTTGATTTGCAATGATCAATGGCAGCTGCGGCAGGCAGGCAGGGTGCCCCAGGCACAATGCAAACAAGTCTCTCTCCCAGCTCGCGAGGATTTACATTTCAATTGCTGCCACATTTTTAAAGATAATTATAACCTTTTTATATTAATATTTTTTTCCGTGGCCGCTCTGATATTTTAACAACATAAATATTAATTTAGCACATCAAGGAGAACATGCTTTCTTCGGTGCGGTAGCTTGCGCAGAAATCTCCTAAAAAACGCAGGGCATCAAACGTGGCGTTCGCGGTCTCAGAGCATTATCCGCCCCTATGAAAGGGTGCTTCTGCAGGATTTGATTTTACCTGGCCCTGCAAGGTTTTGGACATTACCATTTCAGAGAATAACCTTTTCTCTTGACTTGAGACCAAACTGTCCGGCTACAGCAGCAGAATGTGTTCACTGTCCGAGCTGACATCTGTGACTTATGTGCCTCCAAACAGTGTCTTTAGCGTGGTGAGAAATATCAACTAGATACAGCTGCCTCGATAAAATTGATTTTCTTGGAAAGAGAAAGGGGAAATTGCTACTGCTAGTATTGAGAATTTCTAAAGAGTTTTGCCTGTCATTACTGCAAGTCGTCTTTTATGCTTATTACCACTCCAGCCCTTTATTTCCTCCCACTCTGACAGCAGGAAAAGCCATCACTGTACAAAACAGATGTTTTGTTCTACCTACTCTGGTCATATGTTGGATCATAATGCATTTTTTGCAGCCGGCCCTATAAATGTTTAGCATGCAGCAGGCTTGATTTTTTTTTGGTTTTGTTTTAAAGTCCGCCATCCCTTTTTCTTGCGTCCTCAGTTTCTAATACAACAGCAACCTTTCTAACTACCCTGCAGTGCCCAGTACCACTCCTGATTTTTAGGTTCAAGCACATATGTGTGGAAATTATGCATTTTCTGTAGCAACTGACGAGCAAGAGGAATTCATGTATATTAAGCAGAAAATTGATCCCAGTACCGGTCAGATGTTACAAAGCGGTCACTCGGTTGCTCTCCTTGCTAAAGTGCAATGGTTGCCTTGGAATGTTTTTCTGGATGAGACCTTTATTTCCTACACACCAAAGCCAGGAGCTGGAGCATTGCTTGAAGCTGACTGGGGGAATAAAACTGCTCATGAAAAATGCATGACTAACACATATGCTGCCAGGGGAACTTAGTGTATTATGTATGACCCTTCTGTAATTGTAAGGAAATGATATTCATTTAAATGGATGTTTATCACAGTTAAAGGTACACCTAATGAGACAAAGGTCAGATGCCTAAAAACACAAGGTTAGCCCACCATTTCTGGCCTCGTTTGAAAAGACTGTGGTTTTTTTTTCCCCGTTGTTTCTCCAGCACATGTGATCTTTATTTATGCAGCTTAAAAAAGTCCCTGTCTCCTGTATTTGGATGCCAAATGCAGTATTAAACTAAGTGCAGTTCTAATATTATATGCATACATCTGGGAAATATATCTAGATAGCATATTAAAATTCACATCAAACCAAACGCTACTTTTCAGCTGCTGTTGTTTGGAGCAGCCATGAACTTATTTATTTATTTATTTTTATTAGTTGCCTTTATGAGATTTATGTATTTTCGTCTAAAAAAAATCAAGCCCAAGTCCCCTAATGGGGATCGGCTTTTGCAGCTTTAAGAGATAGCTGCAACGTAGGTTGCTTATTCCTGTTTCTATCAGCCCTCCTCCACGCAGAATGTGTTTCAAGCATTGTGTTTTCATTTGGTTCTTCCTAAACTGTAACATTTTTGTAATATGAATTTGGTTTTATCATTGCATGAATATGTTCTTAGAGTTCAGGGAGAGATGTTATACGGAACATTACACACAGTATCCTTCAGCTAAACCAGCTTCGGTGCGATAAATGAACCTTTTGATTAGTGCTGCAGCTCTTTGCCAGAGATTGCTCTCCCTGAATCACTGGTCTCCGCAAAGATCCCTGACATTTTCTTGCAGTGCTTATGAGGATGACTCTACAGCTCAACAAAACTGCCATGTCAAAGAAGAGAAAAGCAATCTACCAAAATTCGAATCGCTGATAGGAGAAGCTGACAAACTGCAAGACATGTAACTACTCTAGAAAGGAGAGCTGAGTCTGGATTTCATTATGCTCAGGGAAGTGAGCCAAGTTCATCTTGGTCTAATGCCAAGATGATTGGCATTGATTTAATACCTCATCATCAATGGTATTGAAAGCAGCTGATAAATCTAAAAGAATCACTGTGGATACCTGATCTTCCTCCAGGCCAAGACAATATTGACCAGTGCAGGACAACTGCTGTACTGGTACATGCTTGCAGCCAGACTGCCTGGGGTAAAACAAAGAGCTGCAGATATTTCAGAAGGTATTTCTTTATACCATGTCCGGGAGAAAGATGTCTGAAAAAGCTAGACGATTAGTCAGATGTCAGAAGGCTCAAAAGAACCAGCCCCTTCCCCTGCCTGGGCCCTGAGTTTCTGGAGGGGCACGGGCTTGGAGCTCTTGTCTTGGCTTTTACAGCAAATGAGTTATCCAGGGTTTGCACCTGTGAAAACAAGAATAGAACTTGGTGTGCTCTTCGCAGGGTCTGTAGCGTTGAGGTCTGAACACGGGACTCTGAATCCAGTCCACTCCATGACACGGGATCACGTGAAGACTGCAAAAGTTGCATTAGAACTTGAAGGAATCTGCCACAACTATACAAAGCGCAAGCTACTTGTCATTTCAATTTCTTATCTATTTGCTTTTGGCCTGTGTAGCATGCACCCTCTTCCTGACAGTAGCTTCATCCCATTTGCCTGCTGTCATGGGCTATTGGTCTGTATTCCAAAA